TTTCTGTCCAGCATGGCCTTGGCTCTGAAGTTTAGCCTTAGCCTCATCACTGAACCACATCCTGCACTGCATGTACTGAGAAGGGCTTAAGCACGTCTTAAAGACTACGTGAAAATCTTGAGATACTCAGTGAGCCTTTTTACTCCAGCCTATAATATACTCCCTACTGTACAGAGATGTAGGTCCGTGCAAGGCACAGGCCTTTTTGAAATTACTAAGTGAATCCATTCTTAACCCTTCATAATACGGAGACTGATTCTCCTCCAGCTGGATAGGAAAAAAGAGACTGGGCTCATGGGGTCTGGGTGGGATTGACCACTTACGGTCGAGAGGTTTCAGCTGTAAGCTTCTATCAGGACCATGTCCCAAGTTACCTGGAGGTCGCTTGGCTGGGGAGCGGCAGCTCTTGTGAGAAGCCTTCTGTACCAAGCTACTCAGGATCTGAGGAAGTGGTAGCTGGCTCATCATATGCATCGCTTTCCTCTGACACACTGGAACTGGAGTCATACAGAGGAGGTGGGGGTTCTCTCTGGCTTGACATCAGTAGGGAACGTTAATTCATCAGTGGCAGAGAGATTTTTGCTCTGAGAATGTGTTTCCACTGGGAATGCCTTGAGCTGCTATCAGGGCTTGGGTACGGGAGTAGCAAAGCATTGAGCATCAGGCTTCTTTCTAGACTTGGATATGGGAGGGGCCGAGGGTAAGGCTATCTCAGTAGTAGGAACTTTCTTCATTTCATCCTTAATCTTTAAATTCTCTCTGTTTAACTCCCGAGGAAAGCCTCCCATGGTATATCTAACATCCTCCTCCTCGGAGGTACCTTCCAAAGCCTTAAGAATGGAGTTAACAATTTCCCAAGTTACCCAGAATTGTTTAGAGATCTGAGCCCCTTCTTTAAATTCTCTGAAGAGATTACCCTTAATCTTTTCCCAAACCTCAAGCTTCAAAGTACCCTTATATGGAAACTAGGGTGAGATTTATAAACAGTGTTTAGTCAGGACTGGAGTTGGTCCTAAGAAACATGATGTCCAGTTATCTTTGCAAAATGCTTAATCTATTCAATAAAAAACTGGCCACATTCAGTTTGGCGCAAAAGATTTTGAAAGGACTTCATGTGGCACTGTTTTTGTCCCATCTTAGCGGAGGAGTATGGCTAGTATTCACCATACCACAAATCCTAGTTCTACCACCAAACTTTTCTAGAGTGGGAGTCTACCGAATGCTGTTCTTACCTTTAGTTGCGAACCAATTGAAGATTCGTTGCGCGCACAGGGATGCCAGACCTGAAACACAAATGTACACAGCTATGCTCAATTCAGTTCTTAATATAATGGTCAGAATATGGAAACAAGCCGAGTGACCAATAATAGAAGAATGAATAAAGAAATTGTATGCATACACCTTGGAATACTATGCAGCCAATCAAATGAAAACATTCAGTTATTACAACTTGGATGAAACTGGAGTACTAATTCTGAGTCAAGCAAGAAAGAGAGAGAAAAAAGGCATCAGACGATCTCTGTAGTGTTTGGGAAAACAAAACAAGGATATAGGCAATATCTACTGCTAACAAATTCTATGCATTTGTGTACAAACTATGAGTATCATATTAGGAGGGAGTAGGTGGACATACAATGATTCAGGGCATGGGTGAGGTAAAGCGACTGGGAATGCCAAAATGACAAGTAGTCAGCACCATTCTAGCACATAACAGGCCCACTATGGATTTATTGCTGATGAGAGATTTTACTTCTAACCAGCAGTGGGGTAGGGTTCCCCACGTGGATTATGTAAAGTGGAGAGGAGAAAAGTAGCACTTCCAGAAGGAAATCTACCAACTCCCTCTCGACCCACCTATGTCACCTAGGAAAGTGCCTGGGATATTCAAGATTGATGAAAGTATGTGATGAGTCCCTGCACGGCACAGATGCTCAGGTCCTACCAGCCCCATGAGGCAGCCATCAAAATTTGTTGATGACTGGGGACGGGTCAGGATAGAACCTTGAGACATTGGTGGATGATCACTGATGCTGGGAATGATTTAAGGGAGTTGGAACATTATATGCCTAAAAGTCTTATTGACAGCATTGGAAATCACAGTGCCTAAGTAAATAATTTTTTTAAAAAATATTTTATAAAACCATATTAGATCTCCTTTTTCAAAGAATGGCATGAGGTCAATGAAAATATAGAATAAATATCAGGATATAGCTCAAATGCTAGAACAAATATTTAGCATGTGTGAGGCCCTGAAATCAATCCAGTGCTCTGATGGTACAGGAACATTGCTGTGTGAAATTTTAGTGTCCCCAAGCAATGCAGAATGTGGCATTTACTAAAAATAAAGAGTGAGGGGCTGAGAGATAGTACAAGGGTTATAGTGCTTGAGTAACATCCCTTGTATCATATAATGATTCCCTGAACACCACCAGGGGTCACTCATGAGCACAGGGCCAGGCATATCCCCTGAGCACTGTATTGTGTGACCAAACAATCCCACCCATTCTCAGTCCCTCCACTCTAAACGAATCATATTGTAAATTATTTTCCTTCAACGAAATTGCTTGGCACAAAATTGTTCTGATAGTAATGAAATTTTAACTATGCAGTAGGAGCCTGAATATATCAATAATTTAATGAACTGCTTTACTAAATAATTATTAATGAAGAATTTAGAATATCAGGATATGGGGTCTGAGTGATAGTACAGTGGATTTTGTGTGAAATATTGTAAATATTGTGTGAAACTAAATATTGTGTGAAACTAAACTAAATATTCCCTGGTGGTGCTCAGGGAATCATTATATGGTACAAGGGATGTTATTCAAGCACTATAAGCCTTGTAATATCTCTCAGCCCCTCACTCTTCTTTTTTAGTAGATGCCACATTCTGCATTGCTTAGGGACACTAAAATTTCACACAAAATTCCAATATTTCCAATATTGCTTTGCATGCAGTCGACCTAGTTTTGATCCAGGAATCCCATATGGTCCCCTGAGCCTACCAGAAGTGCTCCATGAGTACAGAACCAGGGGGCAGCCCTTGAGCACCATTGGGTGTGCTCTTCCCTCTAACAACAACAACAAAAATAATAAAATAAAGAACGAAAAAGGATAGGCTAGATGAAACATCAAAACGATCTCTAATGTATCTTAAAATACATTTGCTAAATATGAAAAAAATGAGAAAATATGTTTTTGGTAAAGAATGCAACTTTGCTTTATCAACCTAAAGACGGCTAATTGAGATGTTTCTGAGCAATAATTCACCAGTCTTCCACATGATATATGTTATCTCACTAACTACTTGAATATTACCTTAAAGCCTCATCCTTCAACAGAATCACAAGTGTCACACAAGCCAATTTACTCCCGCTGAAATAAATTAAATTATAGATTCAATTTCCCAGTCATAGGGATATTCGTGAGGCTATTGGAAACTATAGATGAGTCTTGTGTGCACAGAGGCCAGAGGGCTGTTTCAGAGGTTAAGTGTATGCCTTGCATGTGGCCAATACCAGTTCAGTTCTCCATGCTGGGGGTTCCAAAGCATATCCATGTGTATCTCTGAAGGCTCCTGAGCACTGTAGGTGGCCTCGTTCATTAGTGGTGCTAAAGAGCCCCAGTATCACTTTCATATACAGGGAATGTTTAATCCTCTTATGCTTTGTTTTCTCCATTTCATCTTCCAGCTTCCATTAAATGCCTTCAACATTTCTGTGTCTTTGCTATTTAAGCTCTACCTTTTAATATGTCATAGAATGAATATAAGTTTCCCTCCGACTTTATGTCTGTATTTTCTTATAGCAAACCTAGAATTTCCTCGGAGGGTATTTTTCTCTATGCTCTGACATGCAACTGAATTAATAAATAGAAGTATTTATTAACTATTGTTTTAACTATTTCCACCCTCAGTTTTAATGTTCTTATCATAAGCACATAATCTTTCCAATTAAGAGTTCCTAGAATTTATTGTCTGACAAACAGGATATTGCTATATAAGAGACAAATAATATTGCCCCAGTTATGGTTTGAGATATGTATTCAATCACCACTTCTGATGATATCAAATGCTTTTTATTTTTAGGTTTAATTTGAAACATGAGTGAAACCAAAGTGGAATATTAAATCTATGATCTTATATCTTGCTATTAAATTTTATGTTATTCATCCCTGTAGATACAAAAAAGTGTAAGATCACATGAATTCTTATCAGCTAAATTAAAGCTATTGTGCTATTTTTACTAATAAGTATGGGGTTTCTTCAAGCAATGTTAAAGACCATACATAATAACTTACATTTTTTCCAACTAATTTGCTTCTCTGTCATTTATACACTACCATATAAAACTAATTATTGTTTCTTTTCTCTAAATCACTTGGCTATTAACTAATCTTCTACCTAATACCTTCAGATATATATATAATACACATATATATGTATATATGGAACGTATCTCATTAAGAATCAATCTTGCTCCTGATTCTGAAATTTTAAGTCATAATACTAAACAATAGTAATCTAATACCTGTACTGCAAATGCAAAAAATATGCAATCTTATAAAATTTGATGAAGTATCCAATTTCTTGTGATTTCAAGATTTATTTCCATGCACATGGTGAAATTTTTATATTACCACTTTTTCTATCACAATTAACACGTAACCAACAATCAACTAATAGCAAGAAATAATAAGATTAATATTAGGATTGATAAATTAAATGGATTGTAATGGTATAAATGTTCACACAATTTTGGGAAAAAAATGAAAACACATAAATTCATTTTCCAATGCAGAGTATGACTTTATTTTTAATAATAATAGATTTCTATCACACTCACATCACCTCTGTTGGCCACCGTTGAGGTCAGAGAGAAGATAAGATATAATCTGAGAGTAAGAGGACAATCATTCCAATAGATGAATAATAATTAAGGATCAAAGAGAAGCGCTGACAATATTGGAAAATAAAGTTGGAAAATGCAACGAGACAATCATTAGAAGCCACAAGTTGGTCTATAGCAAGAAGACTGGCAGGGCTTAGATGGCAGGTAGGATGGACGGCTGAATCCAGAGCCACAGCTCATTGAAGGGAAGCCACTGCCTCCACAAGGTTTGAAGCCACTGGTACCACATCCCATCGTGTAGGAGCTTCCAGATCCATAACCGGAGCAGCTGCTGCCGGAGCCACAGCTACTGAAGCCTGGCTGGCAGGGACCACAGAAGGTGGATGGTCTTGGGCGACAGCAAGCAGACTGGCTGGAGATTGGCATCCCGCAGGAGGCCTGGAATCGGACGGGTTTGGTGCATGTTTCCTGGCAGCTATAGAGGGAGGGTCCCATTTGACATGTGCTGGAAGGTCCAAAGCCAGAGGCACAAGCCTGGTTGCTGGGGTAGGAAGAACCACAGAAGGATCCTGGGTACTGCAGGCAGCTCCCGAGGGAGCTGGAGGAGTAGTTTCCAGAGTAGCAGCCGTAGGACATGTTGACAGAGGTGAGTTCAGCTGAGTTACTGCGAGAAGATTCTGTGATAAATGTTACCTCTGGACTGTGCGTTTATATATTCTCAGGAATGGGTGTGGCACCTCACAGTGTCATATGTCCATATATGGACCCCTCATTTGCATAAATGTCACTCTGTAATTCTCTGTAATTGTAGTTAACCCAATCCCTTCATCTCATTTTTATGGGTGAGCTTATTTTGTTTAAAGGTCTATGTCAATGAATTGCACTTATGTGACAAATGCTATGACAGTATCTTATTCACGTGGATGCACCATGTCCAGGAAAGCCCCTCATGTTTTCTCTGTCTATGACTCTCTGTCCATCTGCTCCATGTTTGTGCTGCGGAATGCTTTCTTCCCAGGGTGGGGATTGCAAGTTAATCATCTTCCATTTGAGTCATGGCTAAGAAACAGAAATCTGGTCTTGATGAGAAAACTTCTAAAGATTTCCTTACATCAAAACTTTGATTCAGAGTCTCCAATATAACTTCGCATCTATTATTTACCATTAGCAATGCTTACTCTGCCTACTCATGAAGAGCCATATAAAAGTAAGTCAGAGGAATTGGGAGAGATTCTTAGAAGTGATCCTAATCCTTAGCAAATATATTTTTAGAGTTAGCCTTTTGAAACACTGGACTTTTGTTCTTAGGAGATCCTTCTTTGCTGTTTTGATTTCTGTACTTTTGCTTGTCTGTTCAATATATCTAAGGATTATTCCTGTTTCTATCTTGAAAGGTGGTATGATTATAAAAACATGTCTATTTTGTCTAAGTTGTCCAGTTAGTTTGCATATAGATTTGTTTCACAGTCTCATATGATCCTTTATGTTTCTGTCCTAGAGGCTGTAATTTCACCTCTTTCATTAGTGATTTTTTAAATCAGATTTCTCTCTCTCTTTGTTTCTCTCTCTCTCTGTAAATTGGTGAGCCTAATGAGGCGTCTACTGGTTTTCTCAATAATTGGTCCTTAGTTTATTTGATGCTTTGTATTGCCTCTAGTTTCTATTATATTTATTTTTCTTCTAAATTTTATTTTTTTCCTTTTGCTAATTTTCCATTGCTTGTTTCTCCTTAGTTAATACCTTCAGATGTATGGTTACACTATTTGAGAGTTTTTGGTTGTATATGATGTAATTTTAGATTCCAATGGACTACTTTTATTACTGTTTTATTGTATCCCATAGGATCTGAGAGAATGTCTCAATTTTTATTATTCTTGAGGTATTACTTCATCTTCTTTGGTTTCTTGATGACCGAAGAGAGAGATTTTGAAGCATGAGTTTAGTATCTATGTTTGTGGTTTTTCCTTTGTTTTTGCTGTTATTTTAGTCTTAACAACTGGGGATTGGAAAGGATTGATCAATTTCAATTTTCACATACTTGTGAAAGTTTCTTTCATGTTCCAAACATGATCAATCCTTGTGTGTGCACTAAGGAAGAATGCGAACTCATTTGTTAATTTGGGTGCATGTAAATTCCTGAGTAGAACTTTAAAATCCACACTACCAATTCATTCAGTAAATGTTAATATTTCATTGTAAATACTTTTTTTCTTTTGTGAGTGTGCAGAGGATCTTGGGTCACACTAGGAAGTGCTCGTGAGAAAATCCTGTCTATGGGTTTGGAGTGATCTCTGGTAGGGAGACCATGCTATAGTCAAGGCAAGTGCCTTCCTTCCTGTGCTCTCTCTCAGATCCCTTGTTAAGTTAATCAGGATAAAATATCTGCTTCTCTTACTGGTATATTGAAATCCCCTTCTACAATTGTGTTTCTATCATTTTATACTAGTAAGAAGAGCCTAGATAAGAACAACTATGAATAAAAAGAGTTGGTGACAATGCGATGAAAAGAGTACCAGTGCAATGTTAGTGGGGATGCAAATTGGTTTAGTCTCTTTGAGAAATAATATGGACATTCCTTAAAGTAACAGAAGTGGGAATTACTTTTATGGAGCAATACTACTCTGACAGTTTTTTGTTCCTTTGCTTTGTGGGTCACACCCGGCTGTGATCAGGAGTTACTTCTGGCTCTGCACTCAGGAATTACTCCTGGAGGTGCTGATGAGAACATGCGAGATGCTGGGGATCCATTATGGGTTGGCTACTTGCAAGGCAAAAACCCACTGTACTATCTCCCAGTGTATTATCAAGCATTTGCGGCTGCGCGGCATCCTATCATCTCATTCCTACTTTGGACAAACTGGCAGGCTACTGAATGTAACCTGCCCACATGGCAGAGTCTGGCAAACTCCCCGTGGAGTACCCAATATGCCAAATACCATTAACAATGAAGGGTCTCATTCTCCTAATTCTGAAAGAGTCTTGAATATGGCACTTTTTAAAAAAATCTCAGGGCTAGGATGAAGGAGACATTAGTGGGGCCTGCTCGAGGCAATTGACGAATAACAGGATGGTTGTGATTGTGATTGACTATCTCTCCACCCCCCCACTCTCCATTTATTTGAAGCATATGAAAATGCCAAGTAAAAAGGAAACTTGCTCCCCTATGTTTATTCCATCATTCATGACAGTCAAAATATGGAATCAACATAAATGTCCATTGCCAGACAACTAAATTAAAAATCTTTGGTTTCTGTACTCAAGGAAAAGTTACTCTGTTACTGAAGAGAATAAAATTGTGTCTTTTGATATATGAGAGAGAGAATTTTAATGATGACCTTAGTAAAATAAATAGAGGTGTGAAAGACAATTAATTATCAAGTGGCTTTACTCATGTAGAAAATGGAAGGAGTAAATTAACTGACAGAAAACAACAGAAACAAATTTAAAATTTTGTGAAAACAAATGGTTATTGATTGCAGATATGGTAAGTAGTGAGAGTGGATAGACATAGAAAGAATGAATAATTTGGCGTGTGGGTACGGGGGCAACACTGGAGCATTGTGGTGTGGGGGCAACGGTGGGTGGGACACCGAGATGTGATGTTGTTACATGGTCTTGTTAATAAATTATAAATGTATTTTAGAAATGTTAAACTTTTTGATGAAATTAAGGAGTTTTTATTTCATTTGTAATTCCACATATATAGCAATCTTTGTCACTATATTTTAGCCAAAGCTTCAAGAAGATGCCTTGTTCATCCAAGCATTGGATCATTTCCCTGTCCTGGTCTGAGGGTCCTAGGCTCTGCAGATTTGTATGAGAATCAGTTGTCAACTACTGTAGGAATAGGTGTCATGATGTGTCGAGCAATTATCAGGGCAGTGTTTGGGGGTGAATACTCTCTGTTGAGATCAAAACTCTTAGAGATTCTGAATTTCCTCAGATTAATTCTAGGTACTGGTGGTCATATAAACAGCTCTATGGAAGCAAGCTCACAACAGGACTGCTACAAATGCAAAGAAATCACCCTCAGTCTTCATGCATGCCCTCAGGATTTCTTGAAAGAATGAAACAGAGCTTTGGAAGATCTGGCAAAAGAATCTCAAGAGTATTCTAATGCTTAAACTTCATTCGATTAAATCTGTCATTATCTGAAATACTCTGCTCAGAATGTCTGACCATGTGTTAATGGTGCTTTTTTTGAGATACCAGGAACTGAAATGGGTCAGATCTCCCTTCTTTTAGGTGATGGTGGTGTAGAGGATGGGAGGTGGCAGGCAGGGAGTTGCCCATACCTGGCAGTGCTCAGATTTTAATCCTAGCTCTGTGCATAGGGGAACATATGTGGTGCTGTCAATCAAACCAAGCTTGGCAACACTCAAGGCGAGTGCATTAACCTCTGTACTTCCTCTGCAGCTCAGATGCTCTTCTTAATACTTTCAAAAGCAATATCCCTCCAGAGCTACAACATAAATTCTAATGCTGCCATTGCTGTATTGTGTTGTTTTAGTCACCTGCCTTTGTTCTTTTAAACTTCAAAAATTTTAGACAGTTTCCTAGCATATTCATTGGGCATAGGTAGATAGCACTGTCCTCCCATTGTTCTTCGATTTGCTCGAGCGGGCCCAGTAACGTCTCCATCAAGAGACCTGTTACTGTGTTTGGCATATTGAATACATCACGGATAGCTTGCTAGGCTTTGCTGTGAGGGTGAGATACTCTCAATAGCTCGCCAGGCTCTCCGAGAGGGGCGGAGGAATCAAGCCAGGCTCGGCCAGGCCGGCTGGGGGCAAGGCAAATGCCCTACCACTGTGCTATCACTCCAGCCCATAGGTAGATAATTCCAAATACTTTTAAAACAAATATAACATTACACACCAGAGATCAAATACTCAATGTTGGAGACTCAAGTGGCAATATGCCAAGCCTATGACATTGAAGTAAATTATGTTATTAAAAAAATTAAGCTCCTATAACACATGCTTAAATTACCACCTTTTGATCAATATAAAATATGTTTAATGTGACATTTTAAATTTAAACTTGAGGGGCTGGAATGATAGTACAACTGTTAGGGTGTTTGCCTTGCACATGACCTACCTGGGTTCAATTCCTGGCATCCCATATGGTCCCCTGAGCACTTCCAGTAGTAATTCCTGAGTGCAAAGCCAGGAGAAACCCCTGTGCATTGCCGGGTGTGACCCAAAAAGAAAAAGTATTAAACTTGAACTGAAGTACTATACAGATTTTCCTAACAAGTCAAAAGAATGATGTGATAATCAGTTCCATATCAAGCAGCTACTCTCTTAAACAGTTTGTCTTTAAAATTCTAAAATTGATATTTACAGCATTCAGCTGAAGAGAAGGACAACATGGAGGGCGGGATCCACAGATCCCGAAGGAAAAAAAAAAACAGGTTCCAAAAAGAGCCGAGATCATCGGGAAGCCCCAGATGGGGTAGGTACCGCATCCCGCCTCCCCCAGATGGAACCCCGGTGACCAGAAGCCTCTACAACCACAGCTCTAGTATGCGGGAACTTGGACTTTTCCTCAAAACCGCGCGGCCGCTCACGCGGCCGCGCGACATCTCTCTATATACAAAGTGATCCATGGGAAGTAAACCACCCAACGTTTCTCTCTGAAAATCATAGTTAAGTTTGGAGCACGGC